TCATTACTTGTAGCTTCTAAGGGAATCCCCAACTCCTTTACTAACTTACTTGTAATATAAGAATAATTAGAACCCGGATCAATCAGTACCAATACTAATTTATCATACAACTGAAAAGTACCTGCTATAATATCAGGGTCATCACGGTCTTCACTTGTCTTTAGGTTGTACACTCGAGCAGTGGATCGAACTTCAGGTTGAGCAGAGAATTCAGACGGGTTCCTTCCTCTGCCTCTTCCTCGTCCTCTTTGTGAGAAAGAACCAGCTCTTCCAGATGGTGCCGGCTCACCAACAATCAAGGGATAATCCCGGACAAAATGTCCGGCCTCTCCGCATCGAAAACAAGTCCCAGCAGCCATACGACAATCCCATAATGGTTTTTCCCGCAGTGCTCACACTGTTTCCTTTGACCCGGAGTAAATCTCCCAGCACCGGATTCCACTGACTGCGTCTGTCTAGTTCTTGCCTGACTTGCTCCCCTAGTAGACGATGCAACTGATTCTGATCTAGTTTGTGATCGAAATCCTGAGTCTCTTCCCCTTTTTGTTGGTGTTGAACCAGAATAAGTAGTCGTCCTCTTTGATGTCTGAACCCTTGAGTCCCCGAATCTTTCATTCTGAGCCCTTTCAAGAGCTTTTGCACGATTGATCACCTCCTGGAACGAGGACAAGTTTAATACTATCAACATTTCTTTAAGTCTAGGGCGCAAGCCCTCCACGAACCACTCGCAAGCATCTTTTTCAGTAGGCACAAGTTCAGCTGCAAACCTGCTCAGCTTATTAAACTCACATTCGTACTCATACACAGAGCGGCTCATCTGCTTCAAATTCATAAATTCCTGCTTCATTTGTCGGATAAACTGATCTCCAATATACTTGTTTTTAAATTCTTCTAAAAACAAAGACCAAGTCAACTGGTCGGTTGACATCCTCATGGTGACATTCGTCCACCATATCCTCGCCTGACCCCTTAATAAAGACACAGCTCCATCTAATTTCTCCACTTCGGAACAGTGGAGACCATCTAACATGATTTTCAAATCATTCAACCAAAGATCCGCTGACACCGGACCTTCCTCAGCTTCTCCTTAAATTCGGGAGCTCCTAAACTTCTCAACTCTTTTGCTACATTAATTTGTGGAGTTAGTGGAACAGGAGGTTGAAGACGCGTCAGAATAGCGTCTAACGTTCTGAAGAACGTATCTTGATCTTGTACAGGCACTCCTTGAGATGCCTGTTCTTCACCTTGCCTGGCCAGGGCAGGTGAATTACTGCTTTCAGCAGCCTATCTTCTCCGCTTCACTTCGGGAGCTATTATGTCCGGACATCTAATAAAAATAAACATTGTTCTATTAGCAAAACACATACTCATACTATACCAGATCAGAAGTTCTCACTATTTGTTGGCATGTATTCCATTTAAAGACTCCATAGACTCTGGTTATGCCTAGAATCGGCTAAACCATAGCTCTGATACCATTAAATGTAACACCCCCAACCCATACCCGACCCGGATATGAGTCAGAGATACTACATTGACTTTAAAACACAACTCTTAATAAATAATAGTAAAATATTTGTACTTGTATTAAGAAAATACAATAATATACATACTGAAATATAAGTTTACCAAAATATTCAGAGCATACACAACTTAACCCTTTAATTACATGCCAACTGCTATTTACATCACAAAATGACCTACTGATTAAGTTGCTTCTGATCTGATGGTTGCAGGAGTAATACTGTCAAGCTGCTTCACCTGTCTCGTCTAATTCCTCGGATCCTACGTGTGAAACACTCACACGCTAAGTCATCGACTTAGTGAGGCAATAATAATAACAAGGCAATGTAATGTAATGAAAATGTCAGGATCATATGAGATGAGATGCAAACATGTACTTAATCAATGTAGTATACTTCATCAATATCCATACCTGTAAGCGTATGACTGTAACATTCATGAATCTGTATTAATAAGTTTATTGGCCCATGATAGCATATTGAGAACCTAAGGTATTTGAGTAATGTGAGGTTGTGCACTATGCTGTCACCACAGCTCGTATAAATGCACCGAAGTGCCCCGTAGAATTGCACCGAAGTGCCCGTAGAATTGCACCGAAGTGCCCGTAGAATTGCACCGTAGTGCCATATAATGATGTCCATAAGGACCACATAGAATTCCTTAAGAATCATATACATATACTATGGATCAAGTATGTGTCTTTCAAGACTTCACACAGGTTCCAAAGGATATACATATGTCCTAAAGAACCGAGTATACCCTCTACCCTTGGCATGCCAACTATACATATAGTTCTCATCTACATAACATGGGCTTATACATTTCCCGTAGTTCATATCACGTAGTCATATTATTTCCATACCTTTATCACATAGTCATATCATTTACATACCTTATCACATAGCTCATATAACTTTTCTGCATATTCATGTCATGCAATACATATCATATGAATTCATGTCATGTAATACATTTAATATAAATTCATGTCATGTATCATAATATGGAATGTGATCATATGTCAAAATATGGAATCTAGACTTATCACAAGTCTAGAACTGAATATAATACTATATTCATGCTATGCATATGCACTCACCTATACTTCTTTGCCTTTTCCTCGATCGATTCTACTTGTAGATTGTTCCCGAACTCGAGTAGGCTCGGTATCTACATAAACATAATTTTCAAGATGATCATCAGATGTCTATGTCTTGAAATTAAGCTTTAATAGCTTACTAATTTAAAGAATTTATAGCTTAGTCTTGCTTTCTTTTCTTTCTTTCTTTTTTCTCATGGGGGAATCGGTTCCCCCCTGGGGGTATCGATTCCCTCTAGCATTCTGGAATTTCATATACGATGAGGGGTATCGGTTCCCCCCTGGGGGTATCGATTCCCCTCTAGCATTCTGGAAATCATATTCGTTGAAGGGGTATCGGTTCCCCTTGAATGGGTACCGATTCCCCTAGCCCGAAAATCCTAATTTGAGCTCGGAAATCATCCCATTTCAGCTCAAACATACATATTTCACTCTCTTTACTACTCTTAGCTTTCATACACTTACTTTAACTAATTATTATCCATTAAATACCTCTAAAACTTAGAAATCTAATTCTCCATGTAGAATTTAAGAATCCAACCCAAATTCCAATATGTTCTAATTTGAATTCTAACACCTCATACTTCTTAGTTAGCTTCTTGACAAGTCAAAAATCTTATTCAAACTTCAAAAACTCATTCCTATCAAAATTTCATCTAAAAATTCATTTTCCAAATCATTCTCTAAAACACTTATCTTGTTGTTTTAATGTCATATACTTTCCTTTAGCTTATATAACATCCAAGCTTTCATTTCCAATCTTAAAAATCAAAGAAACTACCAAGGTTCAGATTCTTACCTTTACTTGCAAGCTCCACGTTGAGAGAAGGAAGAGAAGAAAATAAGGAAGAATGGAGAAGAAATGGGAGGGTTCTGGAACCTAATGTCACACGTGGGTCTCATATAACCCCATAACATTTTTTTTTAATTAAAAATTACTTACAAATGACCATTGGTCCTTACTTCCATCTCAAATTTACTAACCATACATTTTAAACTATGTAATTATTCTACTTTAATCACCAAATGTTGAAACTTTGCAAATTAATCACTCACCCGACATGGAGGATGTTACAAGTCATGTATTCGAATCAGGTCCAGATATCGAACCTCACATTGGTTAACTCCCCATCATGGAACGTTCATCCCATATACAGCAGGTCAATCCCGTCTCCATTTAGTTATAACCAATTTTGCTTTTTTATGCACATTTTCGTCTCCATTGTGACTCGAATACGAAATTGCAGCGATATAATTATCCAACACTTGACCATTATTGCACCCATTGATTCTCCTAACACAGATGGAATTGACCCAGGTGCGTTTGCATTTTATAGGTTAAAATTTTAAACTCGTTTGTTATGAGCCTTTAAATGCTAATTTCGTGCCTTTTTCTTTTTCCAGATTCGTGCACAAACACCAGAATTGAAGACAGTTTTGTAGTCTCAGGTGATGACTGCATAGCTGTTAAAAGTGGTTGGGATGAATACGGGATCAAGTTCAACATGCCCACCAAGAACTTAGTGATTAGAAGGTTCACCTGCATATCTCCTGACAGCGCCACCATTGCTCTCGGAAGTGAGATGTCCGGCGGGATCGAAGATGTAAGAGCCGAAAGCATCACAGCAATCAATACTCAATCTGCTGTGGGAAGAGGAGCTTATGTGAAAGACATTTATGTTAGAAACATGACAATAAGCACAATGAAGTATGTGTTCTGGATGATAGGCTCTTACGGCCAGCATCCAGACCCCGGATTCGACCCGAAAGCAATCCCGATAATCAAAGGAATCAATTACAAAGACATTGTGGCTGATAATGTCACATATTCAGCGAGATTGGAAGGGATCAAGAATGATCCTTTCACCGATATTTGCATCTCGAATGTCAATATAAAGTTGACTGAAAAGCCGAAGGAGTTGCAATGGAACTGCACTGATGTTCAGGGAGTTACCAACCGAGTGACCCCTGTTCCATGCAATTTGTTGCCTCAGAAGGAGATTGATTGCCCCTTCCCCGAGGCCAGGCTGCCTATTGAAGATGTCCAGTTGAAGACTTATTCGGTCACCGGATACTTTTCATAATTTGTACTCTACCCTTAATACTAATAACAAACCGTACTTTAGCATCTGGGAGAAAATGAACAAAACATTTAATGAAATACCTATACTACTCGAGACTTAAGCATGTTGGATTCGGACATGTCCAACACGAGTATGGTTTAACTTTTTCTATTTTTAAATTTAAAAATTCTTTGAATAATATATTTCGTATTCATACGTCGTATATCGATATTTCAACAAAAATAATGCAAAGAAAAAACTCATATTTCCATCTACCTGCATAGCAGCAGCATAGAAAATACTTTGTTTATATTAGAAAGTAGGCATAACATCACAGTAAGATTATGCAGTCGAAACTTGAATAAAGAAGATGAGACCCAGAACTGTACAACATAAATACCCCCTTCAAAACAAAGATAGAGCACGCACTGTACACTTTCTTTCCAACTCTTCTCCTTCCGTTCTACACCCGGTTGTCCAAAATTCCCTTAGTTGCAGAATGAATGAGGAGAATTATTTGGAAACTTTGCAGCCGATGATCCCTACAAGTAGCATATATACTCACTGAATATCACGGTCCAGAACTCTCTTTGATTTAAGTCCTTTCCTGGCATGAAAGTAGAGTCTATTGATTATACAAGTATAAAAGAGGTAATGCACAGCTGAAATTAGAGAAAACCTACCTACAATATTAAGTGATTCTTTTAGATTGGTCGTCATCAACAGCATTACAAGCATCGTCATTGACAATTGTCTCCGTGTCAATCTCATATGAAGAAAGCAATTTTCTCTGTATCACAAAGCAATATCTTATAGGTTTAGGAACAAATATATAGATTAACCAAAGAAAATACTAGAAGTTAGAAAGTTTTAAGAGGTAGACGTTTTACCAAATGGTAAGTCAAAAAGAAACAAGAAAAGTCGGGGACAGCTATGGAGCTACTAAACGAAATCATCCGACATCAAGATATCATTAATATTTAAACAGGCATATATGTGTGGTGATGCATTGAAAACATAAATCTCTTCATCTCTTAAATTTCAGCCTAATATCACATAACGACTTCCAAGATTCAAAACAAATCATGCACAGAGCCAATTGCATCATGCAAGACTGATCAGTAATATCTTAGGAATCATCATCATACTTTGTCAAACTGTTGTATTTATAAATGCTGACTACAGAAATCTCATTGTGGTTTACGTAGAAGAATGCACGGTGCTGCAAATTGTATACCCCAAAGGATGATCAGACCCATTTATCTCAGGCTGTGGCGTTGCAATTCAAACAATATCTACCAACATAAATTTTCTTGGTGTTCAACCCCTTCACCTATTAGAATTTAGAAGGAAAGACTAAACTACTAGTAGACCAACATTACTCCTTTTATTAATCGAGTCTCATCATGCATATCGTGAAGGAAGTAAACGTTAGAAAGAGCTAAGAAATAGAAACTCACATGATCTTCAAAAGTCAGGGCTTGTCAGATTGATGGAGAGATTTCTCATCAACAAAGCACCTAAATAGAACAAAAAGTATTAGCAATCATGTAAGCAGCAAGATCAAGTTGGATTGTATAATTGACATTGTAAAAAAAAGCATACTGTTTCAACATCTATTGGATCCATCTTCTTAAGTTTCTGCAGATGACCGATAGTGTTTGGATCAAAGACACTACCAATAAAACTGTATATTTGAGCAAAGTCGGGCAACACTGCACCAAGCAAAATGCTAGTTTAAAGGATGTGAGGATACATAGCTAGCATATAAGATTATAAAATTACGGTAATTTACAACAAACCTCTCGGTGCATGACCTTGATTTCCCTGATCAGATATCTCCCGAATTTGTCTCCTCTTCTGGGTACTTTCAGTGCTACTACATGAGTTATTGGTCATCCCAATACCTATAAAAAAAATGCAACACCAATTAAAATCTTAAATTTTTAAAGGGGCTAACCCTACCAAAAAATGAGTATAATGTTAGAATACTAGAATTTGGGGGGGGGGACCTCTTCTATCTTGTGCGAAACTGATGGTTTGTGTGTTGTTTGTTTGGGAAGATGCAGAAGCTCTAGTAACAGGGTTAATAAACATCGTTGGGGGATCGGATCTAAGAACAAATCCAGCATCAAGTAAAGTAGTAGGTGACTGCAGAGGCTTGGATACTTGTGGGTGTCCAAGAGCTGCCACATGTGACACACAGAGGCGGTTATTAATTTGAGTTTGCTCCGTGATTTTACGGCGATGCTTAAGATCAAATATCCTCACCGTTTTTGAGGCTTTTTGAGGATATGGACGGGAGGCTTTCCTTTTAGGTCGAGGTGGAGGTAGGTGTTCACTTGTTCCATTCTTTTGAACCTTTAGAAAGTACTTCTGGGCATGGCTACGGATCTATAAAAACCAAATGGCACTTCATTTCAAATGTTTTTCATGGGCATTCCTTTCTGCACCTATTGCTAAAAGCAAAAATAAAGCTTTAATACTGGTTTTTACAGCATCCGGGTTTCTAGCCTCTATCCTTGCAAGTTGCAAGATACAAAGCCAATACAGTAAATTTTAGTTTTACCTGAATAACAGTCTTCGATCCAACATAAGCTTCAATCTTTTTCCAGTCACGATCGAATCTGAACAGAACCCAGGGAACGAAAACAACAAATGCAAGTGAGACCAGGAAAACCATTTTTGGAAAATATAATCACACATAAAACATGACTGAAAAAGTTCTGAATGAAAAAAGAAAAACTATATAACAGCTGCATAATTAGGAATTTATATTGCATTATTGATGCAGCGGATGCATTTTCAGTCGGACTGTGTTATTGCAATTGCCAATGCATTGAGCAGTAACACAGTGACTTGCATTACATACCGACTATGAATATCCACAAGAAGAGCCAAAACAGCAAAATATAGACCATAACATCGCGTCCACTGCCGCTATCTAAAATCTCTCACATCTTCAAATATTCAAATAGTTTATTTCAATTCTGATTCTTTTCAGTTAAATAAGAAGAGTAAAGGTAACAGAATATAAGAAGGAACGTATACAAACTTAACATAAACCAATCTAGAAATTTCAGCTACTTAAAATAAATAAAATAATACAATCTTAAATATCGAATTTCATTAAAAAAATCTTAAAACTGAATAGCCAAAGAAAAGTTATAAATTTCCTTTTTTAAAACCCCTAATTTGAAATGGAAACAAAGCAATTTCGTAGCGCAGAGAGAAATTTGTTTGTTACAGTTGGAGAGCTTCGAGGAACTTGTCGTGTTCAGTCCAGCCTTCTCTAGACTTGCTTATAGTGCAGGGCTTTCGGATTTTCTGATTCGAATCCTCCGCAGATGAAACCGTGGCCGCCGCCGTATCCACCGTGCCAAACGGTCCTAGGCCGGGCAACGCCATTCCAATCGAATCAAGGTAAAATAACTCAACCGCGTTCGGGTTTTAAGAAACCATGTAAGATACTGGCGGCTGAGGTTTGCATATAATCGTATCAAGAGGGCTCACGGTTTGGATTGGAGAATGGACACATCCTGGTTTTCATCCGATATGAGAATTGGCGAATAAGAATCCGCCACATATTATTATGTTAATCAATTATTAAAAGTTAAAAAATAGTTTTATGTATATGATATTATTTTGTTGAGTTTTATGACTATTAAAAATTATAAAATAGTCATATAATTATTCATACGTTTTAAATTTATTTATTTTTGTTAAAAATTAACAATTGTTTGAACTGGACGCTAACTTGTTGACTCAATAAAATAACATTCTAGTGAGGTTTCTATTGTTTTTATCATATCACAATTAACATGTTAATGTCCAGCTCAGACGACCATCAAATTTTTAACTAAAAATGTCGAGTTTAAAACATATGAATAATCAGGTGATCATTTAATAATTTTAATAGTCGAGAGACTAAAAAAAATATTGTAGTCAATGGACCATTTTAAAACTTTTAATAATTAAAAGATTTAATAAAACAACACTATATAGTCGAGAGACCATTTGTATATTTTACCCAATATTTTATGAATTTGCTTACTAAGTATGAAAATATAGTTAATGGATTAGATTCTATTTTGTTCATTGAACTAAACAAGCAATATTAAAGAAAAAAAATTTGCTCATTTAATAAATGAATTGCTTTAATCACTATGTAATAAATTAACTAGATGTTGACATATTGCAATACGAGAAAAAGAAAAATTATTCAAAAATTTGTTATAAATGGAAATAAATGTAGAATTTTATGTAAAAGGTTAAAAAGTTGCATTATAATTTAGAAGATGTAAAATTATAAAATTTCTTAAATAATCAAAAAAATATAAAACACTTAAATTATATGAAATTTTAAAACTTTTAAAATGTGACTGTACGATGGGTCCACCCTTGATTATAAGTAAACAGAAAGAGATTAATATATAGATTTATCATCTAATTTTTGTGTAATTAGGTACTTAACTTTTTAATATCATTTGGTAATTAAATTTTATTTAATAATACGATTAAGTACTTAATGTTTTTAGATTACAATAGCCTAAAAATTGAACACCTAATTATTAAATTTGTAATCCATTATTTCTTTAACTATACTATACTTAATTATACAATATAAATAAATATTATATTACACATAAATATCAAAATGATATATTAAAAATTTATTTACCCAAACTACAAAGAGCTCGAGTGTATCTCATGAGAAAACCCAAGATAATCTGATACATATTAGCCCAACACAACATAATACGTTACTTTACATTTTGTCATTGATCGAGTCCAAAAGACTAAAAGTACATCATTAGATAATATGATAATACGCGAGAAATTGTGAACATGGATAAATTGAGGGGGTTGACTTAAAATTTTAAAATCAATAAATTAAACAAATAAAGTATATATAATTAGTATAAATCTTTATAATATTTAATAATGATTGATTAATAAATAAATTAAATATTTATACTTTCTGTAATTCAAATTATGCTCGTCTTGTTTGAATTTAAAACCTAATTCAATTATTATTGAAAATTTAATGGTGTCTTGCTGAATATAATTTATGGCACTGTCTTTTCAAACTTCCACTTGAGAAACTAAGAAGAAGAAAACACCATAGTGCTCCACCTGTTTAAGGACATCAAATTACAACTGGTGACAAAGTCATATAATCATAGACAATAAGAAATAATAAAGAAAGAGAACACGTGGTGACATTGTTAACTTCTCCTTGCTTTCGGGGTGACCCCGCCCCTCCTTTTTACCTGTCAAAACAAAGAGTTGAAGGGAATTAAATTGATGTTAATGTGAGTGTTATATACATTCTTATTATAAATCTGAATTAAATTTAAATTTGGAATAAATTAATTTAAATTGAATACAATCTAAATTAAATTAAAGTTGAATGGTTTATTATTTGTAAGCAAATGATAATTTATTTTAAGGAATGAAATCGGTGATAGTGGGGAGGACCTAAATTGGATAAGATACAGCTCTACAAAGCTATATTCATAGGCCGGGGTTTCATTTGTCAATCTCAACCTAAGCAACTAAGAGAAGCAAACCAAGAGAATTAATTCAGTCAAAAGTTGGAATTTCACCATATTAATTAAACTTAAAGCAAGTATTTTGTTGTTTCAAATATTCACATACATTAACTTGCTTCTAAAACATCTAATCCTACTCAAAAAGTTCCAACAATCTGCTCTATTATAAGTTTGATAAATGCTGGTCCACTTCTTAATATCATCATCATAAGCACTACTCCCGTAACCTGCTTATAAACAGTGAAAATTAATATTTATACAACTTTTCAAAATTAACATTATAAAATAGATAAATAGTTAAAACTAATTCGAATATCTTCATCAATGGAGATTATGAATGTAATACAGATGCAAAGCAGGCAACCATTTCCTTAAAAGGCATGTGAATGAGCTCTGTAGACGTGATTGGACGGTGAGTAGTCAACATTCTTGACAGGGGGGAAATAAACTGGTTGACGCATTGATTAAAAACGTGAAGACGGATATTCTTGAAATTGTTCATCATGTTATTCCACCGGATTGGATCCAACCGTTGTTACGTGGGGATATTATGTTTAATTAGTTTGTTTTAATATTACTGCGATTACTCTTTTTCTTTCATTTAAATTTAAAAATTTTTAATGAGATTTCTATTAATATTCTCCTTTTATGACTACCTCTCATATAATTAACAGTTGACAAGGAAAAAAAAAAGGCATGCAGGAATCAAAATATAACGAAGTGGTGTGCAGTGGAGGGGATTCCACGCCCAATAGGAGCGCTTGATCATTCCAAAACATTTTTCATTAAGGCAAACTCCGTACGCGTGTAGGATAATTGGAAGCACAGAAAGCATTGGCCTTCCGAGTTCCACTGCCCATATTGGCTCTTGGCTTCTGGCCCCACTATTGACATTTTTATAAAGTCAAAGAAAAAGCAAAAGTTGAAGATAATGAAACTAAAAAACATTTAAAAAAATTATCTCAAGGTATTATATTTTTTAAATAATGTTAAAGTTTAATAATTGTGAATAGAATAAATTGAATTGAAAAAATTATTTTTATATTAATTTATACAATATTTTATTTAAATTAATCAATTGATATATAAAATATCGATAATTATAAAAAAAAAACATAACAAAAATCCTATAAGAATCGAGTGGAAAAATAAGGCAAATGATCGCCAATCAAGAAAATTATGTAATGATAATGTTTTATTTGCATTGCATAAATTTAAGACTTTAATTAAAACGGATGAGTAAGACCCATTTTCTCTCTTTTCTGTCGTGTAAATAATAGAAAGCAATTACCTAGTCAAGTGCACACCGTTTCCTGTCTCTTCTTTCTCTTTCTAACCGTCCTATGTCCCCTTCCCTTTTTATCTGCTAATTTTCTTCTCTTTCACACCCCGGGTGAAGTCAGCGCCGTCATTTTCTATCTTCTTTCCTTCCGCCTACGTTGATTTTGTGCATACCAAATGGCTACTGGCTGGGATCTTTACGCGGTGGTGAGGAGTTGTTCGTCCACCATCAACACGGCCAGCTCCGCCGTAGGAAGCAACCGGTCCTCAAAAGGGAATGGCAGCGGTTGCCACGAGGACCCTTTGGCTTGTTTGGCTTCGTCGATGTTCGAGGAAGAAGATGGCCCGTTTGCACTTCCTACTCTAAGTAAAAGTGGTTCTTTGCAAGATTCTCACGAACCCTTGTTGATACACGCCGACCCCACCCCCATGGGCATTAATCGAGCCATAGATCCGAGCTTTTCGAGACCTGTTAACGGAGGATCCAGTAGCGAACATCATCAGATAAACAGCAGCAGCAGCAGCAGCAGCTGCAACAACAACAACAACCCACCATTAGGACGAGCCCAGCTGCTCCTTTTTTCACTTTCGGCCAATTTGTAAACCAGAGACAACCACGACCGCTACAGTTGAAGAAACGAGTTCAACAGCATGAGGTTCCAACACCAAGAAAGAGGTGATAGTTTGTTCAAAAGATTGAAGCTTTGCAGTTCTTTGCTAGTATAAAAACTGTCCATTTTTATCTGGTTTTTGTAGGAAGAATCAGAAGAGAACCGTTTTCCATGTAACGGGTGAGAATTTATCTTCAGATCAATGGTCATGGCGAAAATACGGACAAAAGCCCATCAAAGGCTCCCCCTATCCAAGGTTGAATCAATTTCTGTGCCCTCCAATGGCTTCTTTCCTTACTATTTTTTGTTGTCTTTTAATTACTTTTTGTTTGTTTGTTTAGACACTACTACCGATGCAGTAGCTCAAAAGGGTGCTCAGCGAGGAAACAAGTCGAGCGTAGCAATTTCGAACCCGACACCTTTATCGTTACCTACACGGGCGACCACACTCACTCTTGGCCCACTTACCGGAACTCGCTCGCCGGAAATTCTCGAGACAACAGGTTATCGACTATTCGAAAGGTCGCTAATGCTTCCTCCACCTCTTTGATCTCTCCAACGACACCACTTTCGGCTTTTGAAGACGGCGGCAACGTGCATAACACGGGTGATAGTGGAGATAAAGAAGGTGAAACCGTGAACAACATGGCTCTTCAAACGTCTCCCGACGCAGAGAACGATGATGATAATGATGTTATTTTGATCCCCAACGTGCATGTTAATGAAGATCTTTTCAATGGGTTGGGAGAACTCATTGGCGGTGCTGGCGGTGGCAGTAATAGTATTTGTAGTGGATTAGAACCCAACTGGCCAGCCTTCCGTGGTCACTTTCCTTCTCAGGATACCGGCAACTCTGCCTCAAGCGCCGGAGCCCCCGCTGGTCGTGAGTGATATGCTGATTTCAACCTTTATTTTGCAAAGTTGGGGTTTTCATTCCCTTCTTTTGGTACATAGAAACTAAGAATGCTCGAAGGAGCTGAACTTAAATTATCATCCTTTAATGCTTAGACAAGTTAACTAATAGGATAAAGCATATTAGAGGCATAAACTTAGGATCGTTTTAGTTATTAAAGGATATTTTATAATAATCAGATACAATTTAATGATTATTGTATAATAATTAGATAAAATTAAAGCATGTTGGGATGCCTTTATCACGAGACAAAAAGCAAAGATATCCTTCTATTTTCTGTAGATTCACAGGGGCGGAGCGGAATTTGACAATTTGCTAGCTGGATCGGTTCCATGGTCAAATGTTTCTTATAAAAACACGGAAGATCAGTCAAACTTATTTTATATGATTTATTAATATTATATATATAATTAATTGGTTTAATTGATTAATCCAATTTAGTGTACTATTTGTTCCCTCGGACATGTAAGATAAAAAAAAGTTCCATTCATAATGATCGATAAACTACATAACTATTTATTTAAATCACTATAATTAATTATTTAAAAATCACTATATTTAAACTAGGGTAAATTACACCAATCATCACTTATTTTTTCTTACTCTTCTATTTCATTCACTGTACTTTAAATTCCTTCAGTTTTCTCACTGAATTTAATACAAATAGCTTTTTTGGTCACTCAGCCATTTTCTCACTGAACGGTATTATACATGGGCTGTTATATATATAGGTGTAAAATGACATTGTTTTGGTGCAAATTTTTGTTTTTCTAAAACGACATCGTTTTAACGTCGTTAACTTTTTAATGGTTGAGTGACAAAAAAAATTAATTGTATTCAATTTAGTGAGAAAATTGAACGGATTTAAAGTAAAATGAATAAAATATGAGAGATTAAAGTTCATTGATGATTGATGTAATTTACCCTTAAAACTATTCATTATAAAGTATATAAATTAAATATAATTTAAATCAAATGAACTATTGGGTCTCGGAGCTACCCTTCCACTATGTTGGGCTGTTCGTGTTTTGACCCAAAGTGCAAATCAAGACTTCGAAAATCACCCGGATGAGAGCGGAACCGTCCGATTTTATGGACTTGGCCCGCACAAGGAGCAGTCGGCTGAGATTTATTACGCGATTTCACCACCATTTAACTCAACTAAAAACGTTCCTGCGATTGATCTCGAGGCCGTTGTCGGCGAAGGTGAAGGAGACGATGGGGATCGTCGGATTAGACGTGGTCCCTAATGCCAGGGAAGTTCTTATTGGTCTCTACAAGGAGATCCAGGTTGTTCCCGAGGACGAGGGATACCGTTAGGCCGTTGAAAGCTTCACGCGCCACCGTCTTAAGGTTTGTTTGTCAAGAGGAAGAAGATTGGGAAACGATCGAGAAGCGCCTCGGATGTGGCCAGGTCGAGGAGTTAATTGAGGAAGTGCGAGACGAGCTCACTTATCGGGAAAATGATCGGTTAGGACCATTTAATCTCTCTTTTTTTCCCATTCTCATTTGATTTTTTTTTGTTCGAAGGTATATGCCGTTGTTGGGTATTAGTTAAGTCGGAAAGTTTGAGGCTGATGAAGCTCAATCTTATCGTTATGCCAGACTTTGTGTTAGATGTGTTCTTTGCCTAAATGACTGTTCCAGTTTTTCTTTAATCAAATCTGTGTGCATTAAAGCTTTTATCAGCTGAGAATTCTTTGGGAGCCGAATATGCATATATTTCATAGGGCTAGCATATCCAAATTAGTTAACATTAATAATTTCTTATCTATGCTGCGATTGGCGTGTTCACCAATTTCCTCGATCTTCAGAATTTGATGTATTGAGACATTAACCATTACTTGGTTACTGTTACTCTAACGTTTCGAGACTTTACGACATGCCGTTTTTCTGATTGCTTTGCTTGCCCCGTTGCATTATTATCTGTTGCTCGTAAAAGCTTTGGTGCCTTGGTATTTGTAGGTTGTTTGATGTTCTTTGAGCTGAACCCTTGCGTTTAATTTTGTAAATTGCAAGAAAATTTACGATATTTTGCATTCTTCTTAGTCCTAATGTTTGTTCTCTGCCGTGTTGGGCTACAGAGTGGGATCCCTGGGGTGTTCCCGATGACTACGAATGCGAGGTTATCGAAAATGATGCTCCGGTTCCGAAGCATGTTCCGCTACACCGACCCGGTCCTCTTCCAGAGGAGTTTTACAAGACGTTAGAAGCTGTTTCTAAGAAGGATGAGCCTAGAATCACGTCCGGGGAGCTGCAGATAAAGGAGTAGGTTGCTGTAGGCACCGAGGTTTCAGAGTCAGATTGAGTTGTTCTCTTGTTCTTGTTTGTTAATCTTGTATTGTGCCTGTTTCCATCGATGGAATCGGGATTTAACCGAAGATAAAAGCTGGACTGTAACCCTTCAGTTGATAATAAAATCGAATGCCAGTGGTCCCAAAACACTACTGAATCTTTGTTGGTGTGTTCTAACTATTGTGTTTTTTGGGTGATTCAATCGTAAATTAATCACATAATTAGGATTTTTCGTAACCATTAAAACAAAACTAGCAACTTAAGATCACGTAACGATCATATAATAAAAGATTAAAAATGTAACGACCATATAGAAAAGATTAAAAATCTAGTTAAGAAATTTGAATAAAGATAGATATATAATCATGATATGTATTAATTAATCTAAATAAAATATTATAAAATATTAATTTTGGATATACAATATTAGTTTGAAATTTTAATTAAATTAAAACTCTTATTGTTACAATTTTATCAAGATTTACATTAAATTAAGGTTCCGTTTGATATGTCTTTTTAAACTCACTTTTAGTAAAAAATTCTATTTTGATTGTAAAATTAATGTAAAAGGGTCAAAAATAAAAAAAATACGGTGGAAATGGTGGTTTCAAACCAACGGCAAAAACTATGATTTATAATTTTTTTATTTTCAACTTTTCGTTTGGGAGGAAAATATAATTTTACCCTTATTAATAGATAGACTCCACTTAATTATGCATTTACATTTTATTTTAATAATCTAATATTAACAACTTTAAAAAATAATTTAATACTTAATAATTTATTTAAATTATTTAAAAGTGAATAAAATGCATGGTTTATATATTGAAATATTAAATGGTGAGTTGTTATAAAATATATTTTTATTACAATTTGTTTCAATTTTTATAGATCAAATCAACTTTTTTTTTATTTTGTTTAGCTGGCGGCAGCACCAGTTACAATGTTGGTTGTTGACCGTCGGTTGTTTTTTCTCTTTGTTTTTTTTTGTTTTTAATAAGAATAATTTTTTATAATGTTTTATCTCTACCTTTATAGCACGTTTATCTATGTCTTTATGGCATATTTTTCTCTGTCTTTTGATAGTTTTCAGTCGTTTGGCCATTGTTTTTGTCTATTTTTTTTCTCGGGGTTGGATTTGAATTCATCAAGATTGATCAATATGACACTTATTTGTTATCATGTTGAGCTTCTATGCTTTGGACTCTCGGAAGATTTGGATACGCGTTTTGCGTTAGTGGATAGTTTTCTCACGTCGCTTGACTCTGATTTACGATTTGTCGGTGGTTTTTCTGTTGCTTTATCCTCTTTTATGATTCGTTTACCGATGCAGTCATATTTGTTAGTATCTTTATTTTATTCGAGCATTGATTAATTTTTTAAACCTTTTAATTTTTTGGTCCTTTTATGATCTAGTTGGCTAGTTTTTATGTCAATTGGTTATAAAACAATGTCTAAATTATAATTTAGTTTACATTGCGGTTATGCTTGTAAATCTTTATTGTGGCACTAGTGACTTTCGATCAAAAATATTTTTATTATTGTTTAAGTGATATATTTATATAGCATCGTAGTATTAATAAGTGTAAATATAATTTAAATCTTGTAATTTTAATGTACAACATAATGTCTATAATAAATATTTTATCTTTTCAAATTCAATTTTTGACAACAACCTCGAATAACTAAATTTTAAATTACATGTTTGCTGCATTCTGCGTTTGTACTGAGAGACAAGGAGATGGATTTGTGGATGATGATATATTTTTCGTTCGTTGGGGAACCAAAACCTGAATGTTTGATTTTCCAGGAGCAACTTTGAAGAAAATGGAAAAAGAGAAGGGCATAGTTTCACGATTTGTCATTGGAAGAAGGTATACTTATCTCTACCAAATTTTCATTTTTTGTTCCTCAGGGTCTTGCAAATTTATGAAGATGTAAGCTAGAGTCATTCTTAAGTTGCATGGTTTTACAGTGCGGACCGTGGGGACAATTTGGACAGGAGCGTTGATGATGAAAATAGGCAAACAAATGACTTTATGATTCTTGTAAGTCAACGGTACACATGCTATGCAAATTTTCTTCTTTTAGAAGTCAGTTGAAAGCACTTAACTTGCTCTGTTTCATAAAGTTGGATATCGATGCAACTGTATGATGATTTCTATATACTTCCTTAACAGGATCAAGTGGAAGCACCTGGGGAGCTTCCAAAAAAGGCCAAAATGTTTTTTGCTCTTGCTGCAGACAGATGGAATGCTGATTTTTATGCAAAAGTCAACAATGATGTTTATGTAAATATCGGTTAGTACTGCAATCTATGGAAACCTTTATCTTTCTTGATCCCTACCTTCTGCATCAATGAGAAGTTGGAGGAATCGTATGCAGAATTCTCAACTTCTCAAAGTTGAGCACTTTGTTCTATATCAGTTGCTTTACTTTGTTACTCGATTTCATGAACAACCTTAGTTATATCTATGTGAGGTCGAATTCACCATGATGATGTTCCGGGATGATCCTATGCAGTTGAAAACCATTTCTAAGATCATAAGCTGACTTAAGTGACAAATACCAAAATATCAACATATCAGAGATTTATCTTTTAAATATGTTGATTGCGGATGTTGAATAACATTAACCATGGCTTACTGCTCGAAAATCTATAGAGTTCATTACCTGCATTCTC